AAACTGGTAGACTTCATTTGTTTTTAATTTCAGTTACACACTGAAACAGTACCTCAGTGATCACAGAACAAACATGATCCATTTCATTCATGCTATTACATGGAGATCTAAGTGTTTCTAATCTATACTCTGAAAGGTTTAAGTTGCATTATAAGCAGAAGTTGCAGTTCAAGTGATCTTTCCTAAAAAAGCCTAAATCAAAAGCACCCCCCCATACCAGACAAGATACCTAAAAGGAAAATCTGTCTCCTGATAAATGTAAAATGTATTATTTTACACAAGACACAGTTGAAGAACAATGATTCAAGGCTTGGCATTTTTTAAATCCATTATTTTAAAAAATGTTCATGCATGACAACTGCTTTGCACACATCACATGCTTAAACACATGCAAAAGATGGAAAACAAATTTTAATTGAGCAATCTTCTATTTTATCTTTTCCAAAACATTAACTGAACTGAAAGGCAAAGGCAACCAACTAAATATTTTTAACAGTAGTATTATTTCTGTATTATGTTCGGACCATGTAACTTAATGCACAACACTGTCCTAGGAAAAGGCAGAAGGCAGATGACACTGAGCTTCTCCAAGTAAATGAAGCTGTTTCAGTCTGAAATCTCCGGGCAGGTATTAACTAGAAACTACGGTACAGCTCAGGAGTCTCCACAAGACTAGGACTTGAAACACATCTTCAGCCACATTAAAAGTGAGTCCATGAAGTACTACAGGGATCACGGAAATTCTTGAGACTGAATGCTTTATATATTAATATAAATAAAGAAAACCTGTGTACTTTTCTTTCTTGTAGCAAGACACACCAACTGCATCAAAACAAGCAAGCGGAAAGTCTGTCAAACCAGCAGCCCCCTGGCCTTATGCAATGCCACACCTCAGCAAACACACTTTTTTGGTTGGTTGGTTGTTTTTTACTGTACCAAAAGCACTGTCCGTCTCTGATGATACTACCTCCTCCGCTGGCTTCCCAAGCGGTACCAGTGGTTTAGGATATCTGGATGCTACAAGGAGTTTTCAAAAGCAAGATAGCAATAAGTCATTACTGAAAATATTCCAATGAACACAGAAGAATCTGCCAGCACGGAAAGAGTCTTTATAAACTCTAAGATGTCTGGATTTCCCTAGGGCTTGCACCAATTCCACCTGAATGTTTGCAGGCTCTCCTCTGCAAAAACATATGGCAAAGTTTCTGCATATAAGCACAGAACTCAGATCAGAACCTGCTTTAAGTTATATGAGCAAGCAGAATTTCAGAATATGGAAGAAAACCAAACCACAAGTGCAAAACCTTCTAATAATGAAGTAATATATACATGGCCCTGTCCCAAAGCACCATACATATCAGCACAAATAGCGTGAGCCTCACCAACGTTTAAAGCAGAAAAAGAGCATTACCAAATTTATTCTAAATTTAAAGTTTTATGAAAATGTTTCTACATAGTTAACATTTCTATAAGACACTATGTATGTATTGAGATGACAACAGGATGAAAAACGCAGCTTCCCCAAGCTATCTAAATTTGTGGGATTTTTGTAACTTAAAAAAGGAAGTCCAAATAAATCATACACATCCAGTTGCAATAAAGCTTAAACATGAAGGATCACTGCAATAAACATGTGCAACGTCTGATTGACCAATGCAATGCAGTAAGTGCTAGAACCACCAATAGAAACAGATGTTTCTACTGCCCAAGTACATTTTGGAGGTGAGGTTTTGCTGGTGCATGTTTTGCTTTGGAGTTTCAATCCAGCTTTCCCTGGCCAGGCTCCGTCCCAGCTCCCAAAAGAGGGCAGAATGCAGAGCCCTGCTTATTAACAGAAAGGCCTGGGGAAGCCACAGCAGGTTAAGGCATTGAGTATTCCAGATACAGAAGCACATGACAGCTAAGGGACTGAATACAGCTTATTATTTCTTCCTCTCCTCACCAAGGCTTAACAAAAGTGTCAGAGTGACCAGAAAAAGATATAATTCATATGCCCAAATCCTTTCCCCCCCTCCCTTGGCAAAATGGCAATTTTAAATAAGTGGCTAGGATTTAATAATAGTTTTAACTGAACACTTTGGGTGAGAAGTCTGTTATAACAGTTTACTTTATCATAGGTAATAAAATACTTTGCATTACACAGATGACCACCATGTGAAAACAGAACTGTTCTATCAAGAAAATGATCAGTGGAGTCTATATAGCACTCTTCCTTCGGCACTCTGCCCTCATGAGAGGGCTCAGTGATTTTGGAAAGAAAAAAAGTGCTGCAAAAAGAGCAGCAGTACATGTTTCCATCAGAAATACAATATTCCTTTCATCTGTGGGTATTTCTGACTCAGCAGGGAGATCAGCAATAGTCCTGGTGCTTGCCGTGATGGTCTAAGAACACCAAGGGACTGCACACAGGCAGGTCAGAGTCTGTCACTTTGCCAGCTTACGGGGCACTTCAAACCTGCAAATCAGATGCTTGCCAGCACTCTGCCAGAGCACCTTTTCCCAGAATAGCAATCAAACACTAGAATTAAAAAAACGTTTTGTGACCTAGGCCACAGCAAGGCAGAAGCAGATGATCATTCTCCAGCTCAAAGTTCACCTGCATATGCTGGGCCTGTAGAGAGGGAGAAAGAACCATCCCCACCAGGTGCCATGGTACCTTGCCAAGGCAAACCAGTCCCTCCTCCTCCCCGCTCAGCGGGCTGGGATCCTCTCAAGAAACCTCACACTTCCGTTGTGAAATCACTCTTCAAACAAGGCAACTAATTCCAGAAGGATCAAATCATGCTTTGTTGTGCTAACACAGATTAAGTTCAACCAAAAAGAGGTACTGAAACCTGAGCGGTATCCAAACCGCCACAGCAGAGGAACTGGTTTGTTTGCATTAGCAAGAACTGCCAGACTCATGCAACAAAAGGATCTTCTTCACAGAAGATAATGTTTGAAGTGTCCAAAAACTACAGTGAAATCTGTCTGGGTTTGATCATATTTGCCATCCTACAAACTAACTTTTTTAAGTTGTGAAAGTAGGGGCATCCAGGCTCTAACAGTCCCTAAGCTACTCCAGTAAACTGAAGAGCTCATTAATTTAACACCAGATCATAAACCAGTGATGTTTCTTCTGAAAAAGCAAGATTTCACCCAATGATGGCTAAAAGCTTGCAAATTCCTGCAAAAAGATCTTGCCCCATCCTACTGAACATATGGATGCAGTGCCCTTTACCCACAGCACTAACTTTTTTGTTTGTTTTAAACAAAGATAAGACATAGTAACTTGAACTTATGAATGCTTTTCTATCAGAATGCACAAGTGTGGTCAGATTATTTTGAAAGCACATATTATTTTTAAAGCACATATAGTATGACATACCAGTGCCTTAAGAGCATCTAGCTATAGACTACAGTCTGCAAAACCTGCAAATTAAACCAACAAAACCAGCTGTCAAGACTGCATTGCGACTAATCAACATGCAGAGAAACAAGCAAGTACACTTCAGAAGGCCTTTTATTTAGTGATCAAATCACAAAAGCCTTCCATTTCAAATATAAAATGCAACTGGATGCTTTCAAGGAACTGTGTCCCATGTACATATATATTTTTATATATACATAAAGATCTGTTTTTTTATTAATATGTACACATAAGATGGGAAAATAACGGCTTCTCTCACCATCAAGATCCGAGATTTCTTAAGAGTTGCTGGACAACCATCATGTTAGTATTATTAATGGAAAATGGTTACATCTGTGCACAAGAATATTTTAACCCAGTACAGATAAGAACAAGAGTACCCTTAGAAGAAATAAAGACACAGGAGACGTGCTAAGTTTAATATTTCTTAGCTAGGCAAGTCAAACCCTTTGGTGTCTTCCTTCCTCGTTACTGGGCTTGCTGCACTGCTTAGATGTGCTTTCACGAATCATTTCATATCACACACTGGAAACTAAAGGGACAAAACCTGAATATAAGCCCCTTAAGAAAGAAGTTATATCTCCTTTATAATACCACTCTTTTATAATGGAAAATTGCTACAGAATGTCAGAGGCATTAAATCATTTTCCACATTGCCAGTAGGATTTTTAAATTCTTATCTCCACCATGCAAGAAATGAGCAATGTGGAAGAGGATTTGCCTGCTAACAACAAAACTAAGCCTTGATTATGGGCATTGCTTTCACAAACAGGAAAGCAGAACTATTACACTTAAAATAAATTGGTGCACTTGCTACTTCAGCATTTCTGTAACTATGAGAAAGAAAAACACAAAAATATTTGTATTCAGGTGGTCCACACGCATCATCTCCATATGGTTTGACTGACTCTCACAAGAAAGACAAGTTGAAATTTAAAAACTGTTTCAAACCTCTTCCTGGGAAAATGTGAGACCTCGTTCACCTTTCCAAGATTGGAAAGAGGGAAAAAAATGAAAAGAAAAATACTTCAATGAAGAAGGAAAAAATAAATCCAAGTGAGACGGTAATGCAGCTGTCTTCAAAAAGAGCAGCTTTGTTTTGACTACATGTTTAAGATAGTTAAGATGCAGATTATAGTCTAAATCAGGACAGTTCTCAAAACATCTTCTGAGAACAACTGCATGAGAATTCAGTTTCACGGCCTCCCTCCCAGTTTCTCCTATGCAAAAACCCACCTAGTAATCCTAACTCAAGCTCCCAGCTTCACAGTCATCCTTGATCACGCGCTCACACACACAGCTCTGTCTTCTGCCTGAGCCACTGAAGCAAACTGAGGAATCTCAGTGTTTATTCAGAGGCTGAACTGTTGAAACCCACTGCTAGCACTCGGCATCTGGAAGCTCCAGGAGTCCTGACATAACCATCCAGGTAAGGTGACAAGGTGATGGCACGAATACATTTCCACACTACCACATCAGAAACATCTCCCCAGCTACAGCTTTTGTGCCTACAGCGCAAACAGATGTGTTACGTTTCAAAAAGGCTTCAGAGACTCACTTAACTTACAGGTCACAGCTACAACTCACCTACCTGAAGACCGTCCTTCAGCGTAGCAGCCGCAGCAAAGGATGGGTTTCCCCGAGCCCTCTGCCATTAGCGGAGGCCACAGATAGTGTGTCCTGTCATATTTCGCGCTAGGGCAATTAGTTGATGGAACTGGATCCTTCTGGTGGTGGGCCTGGGAATGGGCTGAGGAACAGGCCCCATTGGGTTCTTGATGTGCCCAGGTCTCCCCATATTGCTGACAGCTTCCCCTAGCTGATATGGGGTCTGTTAGGGCACAGAAGAGGCAGTGAAGGAAGAAGGTCAAAACTTAACCCAATAAGGACTGTGTTAAGAAGGGTACGGACTAAGACCTCCCTTTCCATATAGAAGTATGAAAAGATCACAGGCACAAAATAAGCTTAAGCACGGTGGCAAAACTGCACGGGCATTTAATGATTGAGGAGAGACTGATTTTTCAGAGTCAAAACAGGAATTTACTCAGTAGGCAGACAAGCAGATTTGAAGGCTGCATTTGGATCACTTTCATTGGAAACCACCACAAAAGGAAAACCAGCAGAATCGGCTACTGGGAGCTACAGCATGCTGCCACCACATGAGAAGATGGAGAAGAAATCAAACATCTCTAAAACCACAGTATACTGATTGAACTCAGCGTTGTAAAAATGAAAAGTGACACTACAAGGATGGGAGAAAGTACTTGGAAAGTGAGGCACAGATCACAATCACAACCTCTGTACCTAGCTAGACCATTCCTACACAGTCACCACTTCAACACCAGGAAAAAGCAAACATGCAAAGCATTATCTCACCATAATAAAGGATGTTAAACACGGAATATCAACATTTAGCCCAGAAATCACATCATTTTCTTTCCAGTGCAGCCCTTCTGTCCACTTTGTCTCCTGGCACGCCTTGGTGTTGAGGGTGGTGACACAGCCGACACTTGTCAAGAGCCTGGCTCTACGCTCACTGTTTTCCTTCACATAAAATCTGAATTCTGCTAATATCAACCCTTTACAGAAAATAGCTGTGGCCATCCATCCCACCCAGGTACGCCGAGCAGTACCATCCCCTTCCTCAGTCCAGAGCAGTTCACACAGGTGCACACCAAAGAGGATCCAGTGCTGCGAGGGGTGCATCTAAAGAAAGCACAGCATCTATTTTACCAGCATCAAATGATTTCTGTACCACGTTTCCTCTCTTACTCACTCATTTTAGTTCGCTACAATATCAGAGGATGTACATGAGGTACACACTATAGTTCTGAGATCCCCCCCCCCTCGTTTTTTATTCAACAGACTTACTAGAAGCCCTTCTCAGCTATGATTTCTCTTTTTCCAGAACACCTGAAGAAATATCTTTTCTTAGAGTTAAAAGCTGACAGCTGTTATCATGCTGCAGTCTGGTAAAAAAAACCAAAAACACAGAGCAAAACAAAACCAAAATATGAATGGAGCTGACTAAAGGAAGGGGTTTTTCTGAACAAAAGAAAAAAGTCTTATCAAGCTACTTGTTGGGCAGATCAAGAATCTGACTCCAAGGACCAAGGTCTGATAGCACTACACCACTTTGTGCAGCCCTTATCTGTGAGACTACAAAGCACACAATAGAGGTTTTGTTGAAACGATCGCTCCAGTGAGATTAACGCTGACAGTCTCAGGCGCAAGTGAACTGCAATTTCCACTAGTGGAACAAATTTGCAGTTTACTAATCAAGTCCCATGCAGTAAAGTCTCTAAACTAATGCTTTCATTAATCTGTCTTCTAATCCTGAATCATCAGAAAGTCACAGTATTTTATAGAAACAGATTTCCATATCACAGCTAACAGCAACTGAGCAACAAGATATTAAATAGGACCATCTGCTGAATTATCTCTGTATAAACCTTGAGACATCATACTCAAATGCATTTTAAGGTCTCATTTTGATATCCACCACACGATCCTCCAGGTATGCAAAAGCACTGTGAGCAGCCCATTTTCACCTAAGCAGTAACTGCCGAGATAGAAACTCACACAAAAACTTCATGGACAAGAACTCTTTAGAAGCTAAGAAGGATTTATTTAGGAAGACTATTAGTTGTTAGTATTCAACAGTTAGCATCAACTTACAGCTCAAAGCATACTTCTATGTTGAAAAACAAATATAACCAATTCACGCTCTGCAAAAACAGCGGCGCTGCTCCTAAAATGAGATACTTAAGTGAACTACCCTTGCCCTCACTTGAAACACTAGTATCTACATGCAAGTGTGCTATAAACAAAACTGAAGAGGTACCTGAAAAAGTTGTGTCTCTTCATGAAAGTGTCATTCCCATAGCTGACTCCTGGACCTGTCCTCTGCCCACCCTAAGATTTCTTGCAGACATGCACAGAAGAGCGACAAGGAACAGAAATGCCCTTTCCAAGGGCACACTACTATCAAAGTCACAGAGGCCTAGATCAAATGCATGCTGATCTCTTAAGTCCCTGCTATCATCTTTGTTGCTCTAAGGATTATAAAGTACAGCTAAGCATCAGAGCTAGAAGAACCAAGGCTGCAATTAAGAGGATTTGATTTTGTCAGGTTTTGATTTAAGGAAAAGCATCAAGTTGGCAAGAACAGTTGGACCAGACAAAAAAAATTAAAAAATCACTGAATTATTTTAATTGGCATTGCACAGCAATTCAGCATTCAGAGATGCGTCTATCAAATTCCTCAGCACACGCGCACCTTCCCGCACAGGAACCAACACTTGCAAACAGCAAAGCCGGCGAGCAGGCAGCTCTGTGCGGGGAAGTGCAATTCGTGAATGAGCTCCCAGCGTAACAGCAACCCAGCGCCTCCGAAGAGGTCTGAAATCAATTTACAGCTGCAGTACTGTCAGGAGGATTTTCAGAGGCACACTTTTCTACTCCCATTCCGAAAAATGGCCACCCGCACCTCTCCAAAACTCTTTACAAGCAGACAAATCCACACAGAATTTGGCGCGGGAGGCTCGTTTTAAGTTCTGACGGTGCTGCAGATGCTTCTGGAAACTAAATTCCAGGTTGTGAGCCTCATTTATCCCCGATTAAGCTAAAATACACTCGCACACGCCTCTCGATGCCTCGTCCTGCTGCCGGGAGTTTCCCCACTCGCTCCGCCGCCCGAAGGAGTCGCTTGGGCAAAGGAGGACAACGCCAAACTTCGGGGGCTCAACCCCCGCACCGGCCC